AATGCCTGCAGAGGTCAGAAGAGGGTGTTGGATCCCCTGGAATTGGAGCTACAGATGGTTGTTAGCACCATGTGGGTGCTGGGATTCGAACCCCGGCCCTCTGTAAGGGCAGCCAGTGCTCTTAACCATGAAGCCATCTCTCCACCCCTATTTTATCTTTTATTTAAGATAGGGTCTCATATGTATATTCCAGGCTAGTCTCAAACTCATGGTAAATCTCCTGCCTAACCTTCTAAGTGCCAAATTATAGGTGTGCCACCACCATGCTCGATAAAACTGTTTTTAAATCTCCCAGTTTTTAAATGAAAACAACTAAACTTTTAAGATGGAGCACTGTAGAGCAAAGGAAATTTGTTCATGGGCCAAAAATGGTCTTTCGGCTTTAGTCTTAAAAAGTCTTTTTTTGAGCCAGTTGTAGTGGCACATGCCTTTAATCCTAGCACTTGGGAGGCAAAAGCAGGTGGATCTCTATGAGATGGAGGTCAATCTGGTCTACACAGTGAGTTTTAGACCAGCTGAGGATACAAGGAGACCCTGTCTCAAAAGAACCAAAAGTAAAAAAAAAATAAATAAAAACTCTCTTCTAAGGGAACCCCCTTAGAGTTTCAAATGCTACCCAACAGTCATAAAGGTCTACAATGCGACAAGAGGCACCTTCTGCTTAGTGGCACTGTCCAGTTGGATGAAATTATCCCTTCATACTGATCATAAAGTTTGGGCTTAATGCTTGTAGGGAAGAATTGCTATGTGTTTTTTTGTTTTTTTTTTCAATTGCAGATTTTGGTTTGATACTCAAGTGCCAACTTCTGCCCCTTCTCTTATCAGTGGAACACAGAGGCCAAGTCTTTATTTATGGTAGAAAAAAAGAGCCACAGAGGGACTCTGAATCAGCAAAGATAGCTAGGCTGTTCCCCCCAAAAATACCTGTCTCCCCGTTAGTCAGAAGCTTATTGTGACATAATCATCTCCAGTTCCCCAAACTGGCAAAATGCCTGGAATATTGGAGGTATGCAAAAAATATTCAGAGAATAAATAGAAACAGAAAACAAAACTACTTACCTCCTCTAGTATGACACCGGCTACACCATCAAGTCATCCAGGGGAGAACTTGGGGTGACAACTGAACTGTTCTATTCTCCCAGGACACCTTAGTCCATACTGAAAAGATCCCCTCCTCCCTCAGAACCAGTCAAAAACCTACTGACTGCCAAGCACCTAATTTATAGCATCCTTTCTTTGGGAATCTTGTTTCCTTACAGTGGATATTGTTCTGCAGACAACAAATCACAAACCACCAGTCATGCTCATGAGGACTATCCTGACATTTCTAGTTCATTTGTCTCGACAGCAAATCTTTTGAGGTTAACAATGAAAAAGTACCACCTGCCTCTTCCAGTGTATGATGATGCACTTCTCCACATATAGTAAGAGTCACAAGCTCAAAGGCCTGCAGAGGCCCTACAGGGACTGCAGGCTCGTCCAGTGTACAAAAACTGGGAGTTGAATAATGACGGTACAGCAGAGCTCAGACACCCTACTTCTTTTCTTGCTGCCAGATTTTCTGGGTTTTTTTTCCCCCAAGCCAAAACCTTAAAGCCAAATAAAACAGGTCTTTGGACAGCTAGTTTTGACCCTGTGTATAACACACCATTTTCCTAGAGTTTAGAGACTATTTTCCAAATAGAAGAGCAGGATGATATGAAAAAAAAAAAAAAAAAAAAAAAAAAACCATTGGAAGTCACTAGACTTCTAATTTGTGGCTCTACAAGGATCCAGCAAATTGCATTAGGCAAGTATTTCGTGGTACCCAGCCAAAACCCTAAGCTGTAAGCTCTAAAACACTTCAAGGAGAGCAATGTTTTCCTTTGGAAAGGCTCATTTGTTGATTGGCCTTACACAGAGGTAACTCAAGTCACATCTTGAAAAAGGGCTGGCTTGGTTCCTTTAGTAAGAATGAGAGGAAAAAAAAAAAACTACAGTGGGTTTTGACTTAATTACAATGGTCTTAAAACACATCATTCTTTTCAAATAAAAAAAATTGTGTTATGTGTGTGTCTATTTAAGAATATGCTGTGTGGGTGCGGGTGCCTGTGGAGGCCAGAAGAGGATGTAGGATCCCTGGGAGCTGAAGTTACTGGAAATTGTGAGTTGCCTCATGTGGGTACAGGAACTGAACTCAAGACCTCGGGAAGAGCAGTAAGCACTCTTAAGAACTGATCTATCTCTCCAGCCCACGTCATTTTTTTTTTTTTTTTCGGTCTTTTTGAGACAGGGTCTCCCTGTAGCTGCAGCTGGCCTGGATTTTCTAGGGAGACCAGGCCGGCCTTGAACTCACAGAGATCCGCCTGCCTCTGTCTCCCAAGTGCTGGGATTAAAGGCGTACGCCACCACACCCAGCCCATGTCATTCTTTTAAAATACTTTATTATTTTTATTTTCATGTGTATCAGTGTATTGTCTGCATGTATGTTAAGTGTACTCATATGGTGAAATGCTTGTGGAGGTGTTGGATTCCTTTGGAACTGGAGTTACAGACGGTTGTTAGCCACCATGTAGGTGCTGGGAATCGAACCTGGTTTCTCTGAAAGAGTAGCTAATGTTCTAAACCACTGAGCCATCTCTCCAGCCCCAACTCCCATCATTCTTAACAGAAATAAATACTTGTGGATCAAAACATCCCAGTGGAATTAAAAGCAGGGTACTTAAGTGAATTTTGATAATCTGCTTTTATTATCTATCCTCTCTCTCTCTCCATCATCTATCTATCTATCTATCTATCTATCTATCATCTATCTACCTATCTATCTATCTATCATCTATCTATCTATCTATCTATCTATCTATCTATCTATCTATCTATCTATCTATCTATCTATCTATCTATCTATCTATCTATCTATCTATCTATCTATCTATCTATCTATCTATCTATCTATCTATCTATCTATCTATCTATCTATCTATCTATCTATCTATCTATCTATCTATCTATCTATCTATCTATCTATCTATCTATCTATCTATCTATCTATCTATCTATCTATCTATCTATCTATCTATCTATCTATCTATCTATCTATCTATCTATCTATCTATCTATCTATCTATCTATCTATCTATCTATCTATCTATCTATCTATCTATCTATCTATCTATCTATCTATCTATCTATCTATCTATCTATCTATCTATCTATCTATCTATCTATCTATCTATCTATCTATCTATCTATCTATCTATCTATCTATCTATCTATCTATCTATCTCTATCTATCATCTGTCTATCTATCTATCATCTATCTATCTATATCATCTATCTATCTCTCTATCCATCATCTATCTATCTATCTTCTGTCTATCATCTATGTATCTATGTATCTATCTATATCTATCATCTATCTATTGGTACACAATCATAAGGAAACAGTCTTACAGGTTCCTGGGACCTTGCTTATGCGAACTTGCAGCAATGGTGTCAGTGTGCACAAGACCCATGCCGACTCAATCAGACAAAAACCCAGCACAGAACTGGGGAAATGGGCAGCAGGCCTCAACACCAATTCCATAATTTGACTGTTGTGAATAGTGTCACAAAAAAATATGAATGTGCAAGTAGATTGACTTAAAGCCGTCCAGGTTGATACATAGGAATGGGTACAGATGGGTCATATTCTATCTATCTATCTGTCTATCTATCTATCATCTATCTATCAATCATCTATCTATCTTCTGTTTATCATTTATGTATCTATGTATTTATCTATGTATCTGTCTATGTATCTATGTATCTATGTATGTGTCTATCTATATCTATCATCTATCAATCATCTATCTATCATCTATCTTCTGTCTATCATCTATGTATCTATGTATTTACCTATGTATCTATCTATCTATATCTATCATCTATCTATCAATCTTCTGTCTATCTATCATCTATCTATCTATCTATCTATCTATCTATCTATCTATCTATCATCTATCTATCTTTCTATCTATTTTGTGAGTGTATGTGTACATATGTGTTTGGGTGCCCTTGGAGGCCAGAAGACGGTGTTGGATCCCTTGGAGCTGGAGTTCTGTGAGCTGCTTTATGTGGGTGCTGGGATCTGACTTCCTCATGATTGAACAGTAAGCACTCTTAACCTATGAGCAGTCTCTCTAGTCCCTATTCTTTAAAAAAATTTTTTTTTTCCAGGCAGGGTCCCAGGCTGGACTCAACTGGCTATGCAGCCTGAGGAGACCTTGAACTTCTGATCCTTCTGCCTCCATGTGTGAGTGCAGGGATTACAGTCATGAGCCACTGTGTATTATCTCTTTTGTCCTGGGGACTGATGCAGTGCAAGCTCTCTACCAGCAGAGCTATGTCCCTACCCCCTGATAATCTGCTTTATGGATCTGAGTTTGTCTTCTTTATGTTCCATATTCCATCACCTTGGAAATATCTGTCTCTACATTATTTCTATTGAGGCTGTCAATCATAGGACTCTTGTGATATAGTATCTACTCTGACCAGTTTGAGAGTTCCATTTTCTAAATGTAATGGTTGGTCCAAACTTAACCCCAGCCAGTGAAGAGTCAGCCTTATTTCATAAAGATGCTGATGGGATGAGACAGCAAGCTATAAGGGACCATAAAGTTCCAGATTTACACCAAAGTCTCCCTATCCATAACTATAAAGCAGGCCCACAATGTCAGAGGCTGTCACAAACAGCATTGACCAAAATGTTAAGTTTTTCACTTAAATAAGTTTGATTTGGGTTCCTATAAATTACAACTGAGAGTCTTGACTAATAGAAAACACATCTGTGCTTCACATTTTTATGTTAGGAGAGCATGGATCTGATTAAGTTAATTTCAGAAACAAGCATCTAAATTGTACAATTATTTTCTGGCCTCAATACATTTTTATAAATGACGTTTTTAGTAATATGTGACCAAATAAACAGTTTTATATTCCAGTTCCAATACTATTTCTGGTGGGGCAGAAATCATGCTCACCTCCTCGTTTTCTATTTTCAGTGTGGCCAGTCGGGACTGCAGCTGTTGGTATCTGAGCATGAGCTCCGCCTGGACCGGCTGCTGAGCGCTCACCTGACAAACCTGATGGAGAAGCAGAAAAGTTCAGTCACAACGGGGCACCACCCACCAGACTCACAGTCATGGGCCCTCTATTTATCTTTATTCATTTATTCACTTTAAAAAATTTATTTATTGTATGTGTGCATATGCACATGTATGTGCACAGGTGTACTGGCCTGTGTGTGAGAATGTGAAGGCCAGGTGTTGACTTTGAATGTCTTCATCTATTGCTCTCCACCTTATATTTTGAGACAGGCTCTCTCACTGAACCTAGAGAGCAAGAGTGCACAGTTTCAGTGACACTGGCTGGCTAGCAAGACCCTGAGATCTGCCTGTCTTCCTTTTTAAATGCCACACACAGGAGTCAAGTTAATTATCTTGATCCCAATTGTTCCAGTTAGAACTTTACTCTTTGTTTGTTTATTGTTTGAGACAGTTTTATTATATAGTCCAGGCTGGCCTCAAATTACAATCTTCCTGCTTCTGCTTCTTGAGTACTGGGATCACAGGTTTGTGTCACCACACCTGGTTACTTCTTTACTTTTAACAGCCCCTTCAAAGCTTCACGTTTCAACAGCCTTGGACATAAGCAGCAAGCACAGAATGCAGCTGCTTGGTCTGGCTGAGACAGGGAAGGCAGCAGTTGCAGAAAACATTGTTCTGAGAATAAGCAGGGCCCGAAATGGAGCACTGATGCCGAAGTCTCACTTTTATAATCCTAATGATCTCTGGGCAGAGGGCAGAGTGCAAAGCATGGTCCATGTAGACTCTATAGGCACGAGGAAAGAAGGTCTCAGGGCTTGCTGGTTAGGATGTGGGTTCTGCAGTCAGCCAGCTGTGCTTGAATCTCAGCTCTACCACCTGCCAGGCAAGCTAGAAGACTTGTCTCCTCGGATCTGTAAGCGGGGGATAAGACTTCACACACTGAGGGGGCTGTTGTGAAGATTAAATGAGCCAATGCATACAAAGCACTCAGAAAGATGTCTTTTTCTTTTTAATGTGTATGAGTGTTATGCTTGCATGTATGTAAGTGTACCTGTGTTGTACAATGCCCATGGAGACCAGAAGAGGGCATCAGATTCCTTGGAACTGGAGTTACAGATTGTTGTCAGTTCCCACGTAGGTGCTGGGAATGGAACCCTGGTCTTCTGTAAGAACAGCCAGTGCTTTTAACCACTGAGCCATCTCTCCAGCTTCTGGGTTTTTTGTTTGTTTGTTTTTTTCTTCTAAGCTTCTTTCAACCATGGCTGCTAGCCAGTATCAGCCAAATCACACAATTCAGCATGAACTTCAAAAGGCATGCTTATCTTAGGCTTTGGAAGAAGATATTTGGGGCATGGTTTCAATGTCAGATTTGGTCAAAATGATAGCATCATTAAAACTGTACCAGAGACAATTTCTTTCTATTTTCCTTGCTCTTGGCTGATAGAGGTTCCTTTCAGTGGGGTATCCAAACAGTAGAGGCTATTCCTCCCTGGCAGAGATGGCCACAAAAAGGGAACAGATCTATTTCATTAAATAGTAACAAAATCATTAAGACCCAACTGACCGTAGAGCCCACACCCTAACCAGCAAGCCCTGAGCCCTTTCCCGATGTCTGTCTATACAGCCCACTTGGTTTGCACTCGGCCCTCTGCCCAGTGATTGCATCAATGATATTTTACCATTCCTTTTCATGTTTAGCATCTCTACAACTAAAATTTAAACAGCAACCACTTGATTTTGGAAAGATATTGCTGGGTGGGATAAACTGTTCAGATTGTTAAAGTTTATGTGTTATGCTGAGTGTGTTGGCACACACCTGCAGCCTCAGCACTTGGGAGGCTGAGGCAAGAGGATGGGCCAGTCAGGGTCAGCCTAGGCTAGGCAGCAAGAAATTGTCTCAAAAATAAACAAAATTCTCATCTTGGTATAAAAAACTATACTTTATCTGAAGTGTTTAGGAGAAGAAATGCTTCAGCTTTCAGAGTTCTATGGGTTTTAGGGTATTTGTATTCCAAGTTGAGCATCTCTAATCTGAAACTCCTAAATCCAAAATGTTCCAAAATCTGAAACTTTTGAGCACATTTGTACATCTCAGATTCTGTCCATTTAAGATGTTTGGATTAAGGATCCTCAGATTAAGGATCTGGAATCACCATATTTTGTCAAGTAATTTCCTCTATTAAATAAAAATAAAATTTGATTAGAAACACAGTAAAATAGACAGATATATCTATGCCATCTAGCTATCATCTATTATCTACCTATAATCAATCAATCAATCAATCAATCAATCAATCAATCAATCAACCTATCATCTGTAGCATGCTCTGTAAATTGTGTTTTTTCCCATTTCCCTTTTGTTCATAGATAATATAAGTAACTATAATTCATAATCCCTTAAAGTGGTTTTCTTTTTCTGGTAAATTAGGATAGAAAGTTATATTCATATAAAGAATACATGGCAGGGGCTGGAGAGATTGCTCAGTTGTTAAAAGCACATGCTTCTCTTACAGAGGCCTGAGTTTGGCTCCCAGCACTGACATCCCAGGTCCAGGGGATCTGATTTCCTCTTCTCACCTTCTCAGACATCTGTACTATGTACATATCCCACCACACACACACATATACACACATAATTAAAAATAAATCTTAAAATTTTTTGATTTACGTGTATGAGTATTCTGCCTGTATGTATATAAGTACACCACATGCATGCAGTCCCCATGGAGGGTAGAAGGTGTCAGATCCCGTGGAACTGGAGTTACAGGCAGTTGTTAGCTACCACGGGGGTGCTAGGAACCAAAGTGGGTCCTCTGCGAGAGTAGTCAGTGTTCTTAACTGCTGAGCCATCTCTCCAGCCCCTAAAAATAAATCTTAAAAAAATACATGGAAGTTGAATGTGGTGGCTCATACCTATAATGCCAGTACTTGGGAGATAGGATAATCAGGAGTTCAAAGCCAACCAGAGCTACATAGTGAGTTTGAGGGCAACCTGGCCTACATGTGACTCTGCCTTAAAAGAAAGAAAAAAAGAATACATTACATAATAAATGATATATGAAAAGACAGTTGACTAACTGAAAAATAATCAATTACTGACCTCATCACCCATGTGAGACTGAAACTCAAATTTCATTGGTGGACAGAATGCAGCAGGGTACATCTCCATGAATCTTTGCTTGTCGCTCCTTGGCTCTAAGTTGTCAACAGCATTCTCAATAATGTCTAAACCTTCATGTCTGGAGGTTTCAAGGTTATACTCTGCTGAGAGATATGTTCTTAGGGCTCTGTTCAGACTTGCATGGTAGCCAAGATCACAGCACTTGAAAATACAGAACGCATATGCAAATGTTAATTCAAAACCAATTAAAGACCTAAGTGTACAACTGATGATCAAAAGACTCAGTAGAAAACACAAAGTTAACCTCAGGACATTGGAGTAGGCATTAGTTTGTTGGATATAACATCAAGTATGCACAAGTAACCAAAGAAAAATAAGTTGGATTTCATCAATGTTGATGACTTTCATGCTTTAAAAGTCACTATCAAGAAATTGAAAAGACAAACCACAAAATGAGAAAAGTGTTTGTAAACCATATTATGTAGTAAGGAACTTGAGTTTAGAATATCTAAACTCTTGCAACTCAAATGGTCCACTTAGAAGAGAAGCAATGTCTCTGAAGCCTTCATTTTATCCAGTGAGGAAGACAGAGGAATGGCCAACGACTGTATCAAAAGATGCTAGACTGGGGCTGGAGAGTTGGCTCAGCGGGTAAGAGCACTGGTTGCTCTTGCAGAGGATCTGAGTTCAATTCCCATCCAATGGTGGCTAACAACTATCTATAATGCAGTTCCAAGGGCTCTGATGCCCTTTTCTGACCTCCATGGGCATTGCATGACACTTACATATATGCACTTACATACATGCAGGCAATATACTCATACACATAAAATAAAAATAATAAAATGTTTAAAACAAGATGCTGAAGATCATTGTTTATCAGGAAAGTGCAGAGCAAAAGGATGCCAAGAAACCACTTCACATACTCAGGATGGCTATAATCAAAAGACCAGGTGACAGCAAGTCTAGGAAGGACAGAGAGAAACTGGAACCCTCACACAGTTGGTGGGTGTGTAAAGTGGTACAGCCACTTTGCTGCACAAGATTGAGGATCTCAGTTCAAATGCCAGCACCCATGTAAAAAATTGAGTGTGGCTGCATATACCTGTACCCCCCAGCACTCTGTGTTTTGCGTGTGTGTGTGTGTGTGTGTGTGTGTGTGTGTGTGTGTGTGTGTGTAGTGTGGGGGGACAGGAAGCATGCTAGGGCTTGCTGGCTGCCAGCTAGGTTCAAGTTCAGGAGAGACCTTATCTCAAGGGACTATAGTGGGAGAGAGACAGAGCAGGATACCTGATGTCTTCCTTTGGCCTCTGAGTGGACATACACCCCATCCCCCCAACACTCAGCCAATCTCCTAGGTATATATGCAAGAAAAGTGAAAATAATTTGTACATGAATGTTTACAGTGACTTTATTCATTATAACTAGCAACCTGAAACAACTTAAATGTATACTCATCAATGAAAAAGATAGTCATACAGCCACTGTATGGCTATACAGTGGAATATTATTCATCCATGGAAAGGAATGAAATACTAATCCATGTTGCACCATGGATGAACTTTAAAAATATACTATGTGAAAGAAACTGGTCACCCGAAACTATGCATTGTATAAATTTGCTTATATAAAGTAATCAAAATAGACACACTGAGAGTTAGAAAATATACTAGCAGAGGATGGAAGACTTATGGGGTGATGGCTAAGGGGTACAGGATTACTTATAGGGGTAATAGAAATGTTATAAAATTGACTATACTGATGGGTATAACTTTTTGAATAAACTAAATGCCAAATGTAAACTTTCAGTGCGTGAGCCAAATGGTATATGAATTATACATAATAAAGCTATCACACATGTGATGGCGAGATCCAATACCGGAAACAATGAAGAACCACATTCAAGTTTCATTCACGGAATACTGTGACTCATACAGCAATTTGTTCAAAACCTTCCAAGCTGCAAATATGTAAAGTGAAATCTTCCAGATTTGCATATTTTATTGAAGACTCAAAATAATCTGAATTGTAGAAGGGAAACAAGCTTGACTCTGTCAAAATAAATAAAAAATGCCTTCCCTCTAATCTCTAGTATAAAATTCTTAAATAAGAAATCGTTACCAAAGTTCTCTTATTAGAGACAATTCCCAGCAATAAAAGAGCTCTGGTTTTTAAAAAATCTTTATTACTTTTGATTTGTACTTTTGCTCAATTTTTCATGTTGCATCTTGAATATGATTTAAAAGAAGCATATAAGGGGCTGGAGAGATGGTTCAGCAGTTAAGAGCACTCTTGTAGAAGACCTGGGTTTGATTCCCAGCACCCATATGGTGGCCAACAACTGTCTATAACTCCAATTCCAGGGGATCTGATGCCCTCTTCTGACTTTCATGGGCATTGCACAACATGGGTGCACTTACATACACACAGGCAATGTACTCATATACATAATATAAAAAGAATAAATAAAATATTTTATATTTTAAAATGAAATGGAGATCTTTTTTAAAGGTTAAAAACTCATTCAATTTTATGTCTTACAGGGCTTATACTGAGTTCAATATTGTATAACTGTATTAATTCAACAGCGAACCTAAAAATTTTATAGCCACTTTTGAAAGAGATGTATCTTTGCTCTGGAAATTGTTATTGAGTATGTTAAAGCTGTAATGAAATGCTTCTTCTAAAAGATATTTTAAAAACAAAAGAAGCATGTAAGTCTGGAAATTAGTAATTACTGGCAGTAGAATTCTGATTTTAAAAGTAGTATAAGTTTCTTAAAGAGGAAACAAGTGGTTTTAAATAGACAAACCCAGGTCATCTCCATATTGTTCTAATGAAGTTCAATCAATTCAAGCTGATTCATTTCAAATCATTAATTGACCAGGTCCCAGGGAATATTCTAGGCTCTAGGCACATTAAGGCCAGAACACAGTCAAATACTTCTATCCTCAAGGAAACATATTCAAAGCTGTTCATTAATTTGCTACTAATAATAGTAGTTGACAGGCACACAGGAAGCAGCCTTTGTACAAAGTATGGGTCCTCCATGCTATGAAGCATCAGATCAGCCTTTGTGAAGGTTTACGTTCAATCACACATACTTAGAAATAGCAAATGCAAGCTGGGGAAACAGATCAATAGTAGGGTGGGTGCTTGCTTAGCATGCACAAGGCACCTAGACTCAATCTTCAGGACTGGGAAAAAACCCTTTACCCTTCAATTTCCAAATAATTAAAATTGGGACTTTTAAACATAAGCATACTCTAAGGTTTTGTTACTCAAAATTTGAACAGCAGCAATAGCTTTACCAGTAGCTCATTAAAAATGTAGACTATTAGGCTGGTGAGATGGCTTAGTGGGTAAAGATGCTTGCTGCCAAGTCTGATGACCAGAGTTCAATCCCCTGTACCACCATGATAAAGGGAGAGACTGACTCCATAGATTATCTCTGACCTCCACATGTGCCCCATGGCCCATGCACACATACACAAACACAAATAAAATAGATAAATAAACATTTAAAAAATCTTTTAAAAAATACAGAATATTGGGGCCCACCCCAGCTTGCTAATCCAGAATCTGAAGTTTTAAAGGGACCCATAGGTGCATCATTAAAACCCTGAGACACATTTCTCCAAAACAATCCAGTGACCCTGTCTTTTGGTTGTTTCCCCAAGCCAATGAGAGGACTTGAATAAAGATGATTTGATTTATAAAATCAGAACAGAGCTACGATGTCACAATGGCAAACAACACAATTGTGAAACTCAGTGATCGTCTCACCATTAATTCATTCTAGTGAAATCAGCTGCCCCCAAATATAGAGAGTGACTCATTTTGGGTTAATTTGGAAATTCTAGTCTCAAGTGAACAAAGTCTCCTTTTATCCCTCTTGCTTCTCACAATCCATAACGGCTCTGTGCAGCAGTTTTGTGCACATCAGAGGGATTGAAAAATCATTCTGTCTTTCAATGACACCTTATTTTATAAAGACATGCATTTGTAAAAAAAAACAAAAAAAAAAACAAAAAAAAACGGGTTCCATTTCTTTCACAGGCACCAGTACTGAAACAGTCCACTATTCCAAAAGAAGACAGATTCCATCTGATTAGGGAAGCAAAGGGGACCGGCTGCTTTATTTTCTAAGTATTGATCCAATGGGCATTAATACAAAAGCTGATACTGAAAGAAACAACTCTGACAAAAGCTGAAAGAGCTGTGGAAATTTTATTTTTCAGGTAGAGTACTTTTTTAAATTGAGACAAGGTTTCCCTTTAGTCTCAGCTGGCCTGGAACTCACTATGATAGGGAGACCAGTCTGGCCTCAATCTCACAGATATCTGCCTGCCTCTGCCTCCCAAGTGCTGGGATTAAAGGATTAAAGTGCGCCAAAATGCCTGGCCCTAGAGAATACATTTTTAAGAATCAATATGGCAAGAAGGAATAAAGCAAGGAAGGAGGGAAGGCAGGAGGGAGGGAGGGAGGGAAGGAAGGAAGGAAGGACAGGAGGAGGAAGGAAAGAGGAAGGAGGAAGGAAGGTAGGACGGAGGGAGGGAGGAAGGATGGAACGAAGGAGGAAGGAAGGAGGGAGGGAGGGATGGATGGAAGGAAAGAAGGAAGGAAGGAGGAAGGAAGGAGGAAGGAGGGAGGCAGGAAGGATGGAACGAAGGAGGAAGGAAGGAGGGATGGAAGGAAGGAAGGAAGGAGGAAAGAAGGAAGGAAGGAAGGAGGAAGGAAGGAGGAAGGAAGGAGGAGGAAGGAAGGAAGGAAGGAAGGGAGGGGAAGGAAGAAAAAGAGGTAAGGAAGAACTCTAATCCAAACTAATCAATTGACCTGGAGCTTTGAAGAATACCTACTAAGTTTTCATTATTCCCAGACTCAAACAGTTCACTCTACAAGATGACAAGAACACCTGTGAATGTTTCTATATCCAGTGCAGCAGGTGGATTCTACACCCAGTGTGAGACCTGATTTCACTGTGACTTCCTAACAGGGTGGTGGAGCAGGCATGTGGCTTAGTAACTCATCTAGACAGCACACAGGTGTCTTCTAGATTGCCCAGAAATGCTCAGGAGGTTTCTATGATGGTTTTTCATAGGCAGACTCCTTCTCTGACCCCCTGTAGTGCTTGTCAGTCTGAAAAGTCATTTAATTGGCATGATTTTATCACTTCTGATGTACAGCATTTCCAAATTATA